ATTAGATGAATGGTGGTATTTTTTATTAGGATATTTTGTTGCAGCATTCCTACAGCCACTTAGGACGCTGAAGGAGATGTATCCATTGGAAAAAATGTTGAGCTTAAATATAGCTCAAAACATGTGACCTCCAGGATTTATAAGATCCTTATTGATTTTGCGGGATCTAACCCGCCTCTGTTCTTAGAGAAATGGGAGAAAGAGCTGGGAACAAAATTAAATGAGCAACAAAAAAATAAAAATATAAATGGGGTATGTAGCGCTAGAGTATATAAATCAATCAGAAAAATGTATCGCCATACATAATAAGCTAATATATAAACACTTCTATTATAGAGGTATAAAGTCAATAAGGCATAAAAATGTTCATATATTAGTATAAGGTCAAATAGGCATAAAAATGTTCATATAGTATATCAGGAAAGATATTGGATGTAATCCCAATGTGCTTCAAACAAAAAAATTAGATATTAAAACATGAGGTGATGAATATGAATACTGTTGAAATGAACTATAAATGTCTGGCTAGATGGTATATTACACCGAATATGGCACATAAACAACGATTAGAGGTTTCACCATTATGGTGGAGAGGGTGTGGGAATCGGGAAACAATGGAACATATATGGTGGGAATTCAGAAGTTCTGGCAGGAAATAATCCAATATATATAAGATATTGGGGACTACCATACAGAAGGAGCCGTGGGTTTGTGTATTTTATAATACTGAGACATCTGTGAAACAATATAAAAATAGTGTATTATATCACCTAATTAGTGCAGCTAAAGGTCAAATTCTGGTTCGCCCCAAGAGCCCCCAAATATAAAGGATTGGAGAAAGAGAGTTGAATACATAAATAGGATGGAGGAGCTATAGAATATGGAGGAGGATAAAATGGAAAAATTCAGAAAAGTGTGGAGTAGATGGTATGACTTTAAAACACCTAAAAAGATATTGGAATGAGGTATTAAGAGTTGGGAGAGTTTAACAGAGTAGATATGGGGCCTCTGATGAAGGAATGAGAGTGAGGAGGTATGAAAATGGGAGACAGAAAAATACAGGAAGTTATTGAAAGAATGTGGACTGGGGGAAAATGGGGGGGGGGGGGGGGGAGTGGCCTGAGGGGGGAGGGAAAAGGAATAGGTTTAATTTAATTGGAATTTATGTATTTTTTACATTGTTGGATACAATGTGGATTTTTGTAATGAAAAAAATTTACTAAAAAGATATAATACAAAAAAAAAAAAAAAAAAAAAAAAAAAAAAAAAAAAAAAAAATATGTGGCTCCTGCTCCCTCTGTGGCTGCCTGCTTCCTCCGCTGGATCGATGCACTCTGATGCTTTGTGATGGCGGGTCAACAAGTTACTGACCCCGGGCATATGCCTCCCTGGTTTGAGGTCAAGGGCCGCAGAGGGCGCCACGGATTGAGCAACCCTAGTCTACATTCTTCATAAAGTCTAATTTGTATGTGAATTTACAAGCTGTGGAAACAAAGATCATGGAATGTCTAGTCTGTGCTGCCATAGCAGTCTATTTTTCATTTTGTGTATTGTAAATTCTTGCTCGTACACCAAAAAGGTGGAGGTTTACTGGTTGTTATAATCAGCAGCGACAGTTCTGTTAACACGAAGGCCAAGTAAAGCTTTAGGCATCATACGTAATTGTACAAGTTACAGGTATAAAACCAAATATTACCTTCTCACCTTCAATGTACCTGTTACATGATCAGTGTGGATGTACAATATCATCTCAGCATGGAAGTCCATAGACAATGCTCTGTCCCTAAGGCCCTTCTCCCACTGGTCTGCTTTTACTGAACTAAATCACACATTTCTAGTGCAACAAAAGAACATAAAAAATGATTCCCTCTTAAGTTCTATATAACTTCACATTGCTGCGCTGTGTTTGGAATAGTCCTGCATGCTGCATATTTGGTGCGCTTTTGAAAAGCACACCTTCCATTGGAAGCCAAGGTGAAGGCATCAAAAGTGCACTGCATTTACATTTTTGGAGTGTTTTTTTGAGTCACATGTCCATGTTTTATAGAAGCATGCTAGGAGTCAGGAAACCAGAAAGTGGATTGAAAACACATTAAAAGCGTGTTAAAAAACATGTTTTTGAAAAATCACGATACGCTTTTAAGCTCACCAGTGTAAAAGGACCCTAAAGACATGCTATAATGCGACATTCCAGGCATGGCGCATATGTATGCTTTTGAGCTACAAGTATAAGGCAGTCCATTAATTTCAATGGGCTGTCCTACATGTGGCAAAGTAGCTCATGCTCATTTTGCGCTTTTTGAACAATTTTTTTCATATACCTACTTGCTGCATTTCCGGTTCTCTTAACAATGAACGGCACAGCAAGGGTGGCATGCGTTTTTAAGAATTTCATAACACTATATAATGCAGCCTTACATGATGATTTGAGCTTAATGGCTGTAAACCTATTTTACAAATGCAAGGTTACCATAGCCAAATATTATGATGCTACCCCAGGAAGAGTAGGAATGGGTAAGCATAATTCTAGAGGAAGATGGGAGGTTGTATCTGTCATAATGGCCCTCATTTCTACAAGCCAGTCTGACACAGATTGCACCCCTTCTTAATCTGACACATCCTGCCCATTTCATGTGACACTCTACTGTGCTGGTGGACTTTAAGGGGCTGTAATGCATATGAAACGTGTTGGCCTTGGACCCTTTGTTTCTTGGGTAATTTTTACAATAAAGCATTGTCGCCCAAATGCCAGGGGCATGAGAAGTGATGATGTCATTTTTTTAGCCAAAGGAACAGAGTCACAAGATATTCTGCTGAGAGCAAGATAAAACCTTGTTTATGGAATGAACCGTGTTTATGACATCTAGTAACCTCACATTAGGAGATAAAAACCTGTTTAAGGACATCTAAGTTAGAAATCCTTAAGTCTGGGGAGATGAAAAGAGGTTTTGGGGTAGATAAGAAGCAAAAGTGTGACTTTTCAGTTAACAAATATGGTGGTTGAACATGACTGTTTATCCTCACGGAACCCTTTTGCTAGCCACTCCCATAGTGGGTGTGGCACCGCCCACTATTGGACTGCTTCCAGAAAAAGGGTGTATAAGGCGAAGGTCTGGGCAAGACCAGTAGAAGCTCCGATAGTAGCCAGAGGACGCTCTGACGCTGGGATTTTTTTTTTACCAAGGCTATATGGGCTCATCAACTGGTCGCGCCTATGGCTTCTCCATGACCCCCTGGGCAGTTTGGTTCCAATGGGATTTGTTCTTCCCACCTTCCACATAGCTTCAGTAATGTATTCATTCTATGCTGTGACGCTGTCAAATTATGTGTTTATTTCATACTGTAATGCTCACATTATTATTGGTGTGTGTTATTATTATGCAGATTGTGATGAATATAAGATATATTATCCTGTGTGTCGTGTGATAATAAAAGTGGAGGTTTTGACAATGCAAGTGCAAGAAAAGAGTGCAGTTGGATTGTTATTTCTTGGAGTGGCGGGTGAATGCTATGTTGTGCCAGGGCAGGTATTCTTTTAGTAGTTGGTCTTTCACAATGCATAGAACATTTAAATGCTGATTAAAAGTACCTGAACGACTGCATGTTGATTGTGTGCGTGTATATGACTTGTTTTTAGTAATTGCACCCAGCATCACTATTACAGGGGCTAAGCATCCAGAAGAGTTTCTACTTTAAGACGGCACCTATTTACATTGTACATATACTGTTTTGTTGCAGTCTTGCATAAAATCATGCTTATTACGCGAAGAAAAAAACAAAACAGGAATCTAAAACCATGAATATGACCTTAGTCAAAAAACCTCATATTTGAAAGGAAGCATTTTGTTAAGGCCTTGTTGCCACCATACATGCAGAAAAAAAAACTGATGCGCAGGTTTCATGTGCAGAGACATCAGTTTTAATGAGAGCTTCAATGAGTTTTATACACATTGCAGATTCTTGCGCAGAAAAAAATCTGCATGTGATACTAGTATTGTGGTGTGTGAACAGAGCACAGAGAACTATTGATTTTGTTGTGCCCTTGAAGAATAACGGACATCTATGCACCATGGTCTGAACAAGCCCTAATAGTGGCCACAGATCACAAAAACCCTCCCAATGTATGTTTAGACCCTAAAGTGAACCTGTGCTCGCCACCCCCCTGCAGCTGCACACTTATGTTGTTTTTGCTCCACTGCACTCCATGTATCCACAGGAGCGAAGGGAAGTTGTACTGTGCAAACACAATACATGGCAGAGTACCTGCTATCTGCCAGCTGTGAATGACCAGCTCTGTCACATGAAGGGAAGTTGACAGAATACCATGTTCCAGAATACCATGTATACCACTTCCCTTGAGCTAATACAGTAAGTATAGGCAGTTACAGGGGCAAACATTAAAGTGAACCTGTTCTTTTCTCCTGCATGGCCAAGCACGGATTTATGTTAGGGGCGTCAGGCATTTTTTTTTTGTTTGTTTTTACTGCCTCTTAACTCCCCTGCATGTTATCCTATGTGTTCATGCACACACAGGATTTAGCAGCGTTTTGTGGCAGGACAGCTTATTGCCACCACTGCCTGGGCGTCCAGGAGAAGCAGCGTTTTGGCTGGAAAAACACTTGACACACATAAACGCGTCTACACCCGTGTTTAGTGCTTAAATGTTAATTTATTTTCATGGCCAAAATAGATTATTTATTCTGGCCAATGAAATCAATGCCCAAACGCTTGATGCGGGTAAACGCGAAACACACTTTTACAAGAGCGAAACGTTTTTTGGTCTTAAAAATATTGTAAAATACTTATTATATTTGATAAAAACATGACTACTTTATTACAGCAAGGTGGATCAAGTCCCAAAGATGTGAGGTTTCCTTTGCATATATTGGCTAAAGGTTCTTTGTTTATGAGTTCTTTTCAACAGCTCTAATTGAAGAAGTGTGTTGGAATTAAAAAGGCACTAGTAATTGCTTGGATGCCCAGGCTCGCCATCATATTCCTTATTCCACAGTATTTGTATTATATGTAAAGTGATACAAGTCTTTATTAACAGCCATAAGGATGCCAGGAACATTCTGTCCTTTCCCTCCTAAGTGGGAAGAAAACACCACACTTGGTATAGTGTCTTTGGATGCTGGATGTGGAGATGGGATAGTCCGGAGCAGTCTGGTATCTTGCAGGTTCCAAATTCTTGTGTAGCAATCCTGGCCAACTGAACAAGTTAAACACAGACATTAGTAGTCTTCACTGCCATACCTATGTACTTTAATAAACCTCAATATTTTGCTTATATTTATGAATTTTCACTTCACTTTTAGGACCTTTTTACAACTTCATAAATTGTCACAGATTAACGCTTATAAAAAGTATTAATTACCTTGTAAGTTTTTATGTTTTATTGTAACACATTCATTCACTGCATCTTTTATACTCCGCTTTTGGTTTTTGTTTAAACATGTGCAATAAACAAGCATATTCTCTACAATGCTCATATCCTCAAACAAAAATTAAACATGCTTCAATGAAGTACTCCATTTCCAACAATCAGTGCCATAGTGTTCCCGAAATCCTCCACAATAAACACAGAACACTCACTAGATTTATATGACTACCTATCACAGATGAGTCATACAGCGCTTAGTATCATGGAGAACCACCATTAGCCTTCTCCTCCTTTGGCCAGCTGCACACTTTCCTTTTAAATGTCTCACACAACATGTAGGAAGACTACCATAGTGTGAGATCTTTAAATCTTTTATTTATTAAAAAACATTTCCACAACGCCCACTCACATTGTTAGGTGCATACCCTTGCAGGAAAAAAACGCATGTTACATCATAAGCATAGGGATAACACGGATCTGGCTCTAGGCTCTCTCATCGCCACCTTCTCCTATATTAACCACTTCCAGTGTCGCTGTGTGGGATGACGTCCCTTCCTGCTATGCCCCAACACAGCATTTCATCTTCCTGATGTTCTCAAGAGGCGAAGGTGGCGGAGAGAGAGCCTAGAGCCAGATCCGTGTTATCCCTATGCTTTTGATGTAACATTCATTTTTATCTTGGTGCAAGGGTATGCACCTAACAATGTGAGTGGGCATTGTGGAAATGGTTTTTAATAAATAAAAGGTTTTAAATATTTCACACTATGGTAGTCTCCCTTAATGTGAATAGCTGAAAGCACTTGGACACTTTAATAAGTTTGAAGGCATTGTGTACTATACTGTGAATAGCTGAAAGCACTTGGACACTTTATATGCACAGAGAGACTTTATTGAAGCACAAAGGACACTTCATTGAATCAGATTTAATTTTTATTGAGGATATGAGCATTGTAGAGAATATGCTTGTTTATTGCACATGTTTAAACAAAAAACAATAGTGCTGTATAAAAGATAGAGTATATATCAGAACTGATACGATTAATATAGCACTTGGTGCAGCAGCTGCGGTGAATTAAGAAATCGCATCCAAAGCGCTAGTTCACATTATTTAAATTAATTCACTACAGCTTTGGTTTTGTTTAATTCATTGAAAATAGACTTTTCCTGTCAAGGTAAAAATAGATCTTTAAAATGAATTACAATGAAAAACGCAACACTGATTGCACATGTAAAAAAACTTTTTAGTTGGCATTCAGTAGATGCACCATCCTCTTTTAAACATGCTAGTTCTGTGGATATCATTGAGATCCTCCAGCTTTACTAATGTATGAGCCACTGTCCCGATACATACAGTACATGCAGCTGATGTAAGCTGCTCACGTTATGCCAGGTCAGTACGTACGAAAGCTTGAACATCATATGACAGCCATTACATAAACATTTTGGGTGACAGTTTAACTTAAAAATCCATACATACCAGCAATGAGCAATCCTTCGTCTTCTGTAATATGCAGTGGTAAATATGCATAACTATTGGTATGCCCCTCATAATCCTGTAAACATTTTACCATTCTCATATCCCACAATTTGATCTGTACAAAATAAAAAAATATTTTGAGCTGCCTTACATATAAAAATGCAAATATTTTCAACAGTAACTTCTAGTTGCATAGTTTTATTAAGTTCTATAGTGTTAGCTGTTACTGTACCTGTCCAGACATATCAGAGGCCATCAGGTAATTTTCATCCTGAAGAAGACGCAGACAAGTGATAGCGGAGTTCTGAAAGAAAGATGTCCCTTTTTTCCAGTTAGACGGAGAAAGTGCAGGGACACGCATATCAATAGAGAATACCTCTCCAGAGCGGCACCCATTATACAGCAGTAAGTTCTGAAAAGAGAAGAAATCTCTCAACTCAAAGTGTTACTAAACCCATGACCCTGCATTCACTATATCCGGTCTTCCGCAGTACACAGAACATGGAAATGCAATTTTTTAGCAAATATAAATTGCTAAATACCCCTTTTCCCCCCATCAGCAGAATATACCAGTCTTGTGACTTCTATCAGTGTCCAGCCAAACACTGGTTACTCTTGTAGGAGTTTCATTCTCCTCCGACTGTCCTATGAGACTGCATGACCCCTGATCTTCTGCCCAGACAGTGCTGTTTGGCCTTGTGCTGATCACATGCATCCTCCCCCAAAAAAAGAAAACCCTCTCTAGTAATACGCACCAAATAGAGCATATACAAACTTGCCACTGCTGTTCTGTAATATGGCAGATGGAATGGGGACAGTAAAGGAAGTGGAGGATCAGAGAAGACAATATCAAACAGCCTTTTACACAATGTGGAGAATTAACTACTTAGGTTCCACAGTGAGTATAACAGGCATGCTTTACTGCACATACAGACTGAGATTTTACTATTGAGGGTTTAGTAAATACTATTAAAAGATTGTGCAAACAAAATATAAAAATTACATAGCGTACTTACAAAAGGCTAATATTATTTCAAGAGATGTGAATTTTAATCTTTAGTGCAGTTTCTTACTACGCTAAAAATGCCTTAGCTTTCATTCACATAGACCTTCTGCATTAAACAGTTAAAATTGTCTGGGAAATCAATAACAAACTTTATTTATCGTGTAGTAAGGGACACAGGTATTCAATTACAGTGGGGTCATACTGCTGCCCTCAGATGATTTGGACACTGACAAACAAAAAAAACTTTAAGCCAGCTTCTGTAAAATCCCTTCTCTATGCAGCTTGCCACAGTTTTTACTGGCACCCTAGCAGGTTGGCCACCTTCTCCTTCCCTCTGCTGAATAAAGGCTGTATTTTTACTAGCCTTTTTTTCCACACAAATTTTTCTTCTGGAACAAAAAAAAATCAAGATTTTTGCTACACTGCTGCTGGTCTCTATTTAGCAGCCTGCTGGATAAAGACCTATGGGCCTAGCCTTGAAGGTGACCTTGGGGCACTGCATTGCGGCACTTTCTGCATAACAATGTACTGTGTTAGTTACTGCAGAACACTTTCCAGAGACATTGCAAAGCCCCAAGTGTTACCATGTCTCTGTAGACTTGTTTTGTGAATAAGGTTGGCGATGCTGAAGCACTAGAAGTAATCTTAATGTACCAATAGGTGCCTTTTCAAATTTCTCACTACCTATAGTTTTTACAGCAGTAGGGTTAAAAGTTGAGGGACCAAATGCTAATGTCATCCACTGATGGAACTCTGCGCTCTCTCACCTCTCAGCCTAGAGAAAACACCTTCCCTCTGCTACTCCTGAAAAACCATGTGGTTCTCCGGTTCTCATTCTCTTTTCGCTGCCAGGCTACGATGTTCACTTGGTCTTTATGGCTTACTGTACTCAGCTACAATGGCATTCTGCCTTAAGAGGCTCTAGGTGCCATCTCCTGCAGAGTCTGATTTTGGTCATCCAGAGTCCCTTGATAAGGCCATGCCTGTGGCCTCTGGTATCATCTCTGACTCCCAGCAGTCTACCACTGAGGCATCAGAGTCTGTTGCCATCACCCCAGATTTGCAGAGGATTGTTTCAGACCTCATTGAAGCAGTGCATTCTCCCCTGCACATGGAGGATCAGCCTGCTGTTCCAGGCCGTGGGATTTTAGAACTTCAACAGCTGGAAAGACTCTCGCTGGTTCAGGCTCACTATTCCTTCAGGTGGAGTAATTCCTCGCTGGTGGTGCTTTCCTCTGCCCTGGTCCTATGCATTAGCTTGATCCTCTGTGGCCTCCCCTTGATCATTGCCAGCTTCACTTGTCTTGCTGCGGGGTTAATTTCAATTGATCAAATTTGACTATAGGTTCCTCAGGTGGTCCTGAGTTGCATGTGGTTCTCAGGCCCTTCTTATAGGGCTGTCAATGTCTGTTGCTCACCTCTCAATGCTGTTCTTTCTGGTCTATTAAGGGACACAGGAAATCAGATACAGTAGGGGATATTCAATGAGAAGCTATGGGAGCTTACTAGAAATCTACCAAAAGAGTTGGAATATATAACCCGGAAATAAGAAACAATACCAACAATGAGGGATAGATCCCAGGATTTCCCTGAAAGGGAAATCTGGACAATCAAAAACAGTCCCTAAAGAAAGGACCAACCGGTCTACATGATAAGGCTCAAGCCTCATAATTCTAACCCTTAGGATTCAGCTTCCATGATAAGATCAGTGAAATGCAAATGAAACATGAAAGCCATCAATGCATGATATCCCAAATAATAGCTAAAATACCCACGAGACAGGTAGCAAAACAACAAGGGTACACCTTCCTAGGTCAGACTGACTGAAAAGAGGGAAAAGGGTGAACAAGAGATGAGATGAGGGCATAATGCAACCCAGAATGGTGCACAAGACGCCAACAAACACAAGGATGAGCAGGGACCCAACCACCTAAACATATGCAAGGGTCTCTGGGTCTGACAGAGGATATTTGTCAAATCTAATCGTGGTCCAGAAGACATGCTAAAACTTCCTTAATAGGCTACACATCAGTGGCAGGAGGAGGACCTACCTCCCAGTGATCAGGCCTCATAGGCCTCTGGCTATACTTTTCTCCCACCGGGGAAGGGGAGGAACCAGCAGCAGGATCTCAGCATGTTCTGACATCCAAAGGAGCACAGAGCCATTCAACAATGGATACGTCTTGCCATGCCAGGTGACGAGGAGTGCCCAAGTGCAGAATCCTCCTTCTGTTTGGAGACTACCAGTGGAAAAGAGCCAGATGACAATGCCATGTCTCTAAAAAGCCCAAAACAACATACTCATACTCAGGTGCAAGGAACATTTAATCTTGCATGTGTAGTCAGATGAAGGAAAACTTCAAACAAGCTTAATAGCCCTGGCAAGGCAGCTCTCACACTACCAAGGCTTCCCTCAATTGGCACCCAACAGTAGCTCAAACCATAGAAATACAGAAAGGAGTGCCAGACCAAAACCAGATAAGAGTCCAAGATAATTTTAATTGTTGGTAAAAAATATACGAAACAGCCAACACATTTCGGGTGCAACCCCACTCCCCCTTCATCAGGGCTCAACATAGGATAAAACATGGATGGACTTCAGTATTAAATTTGACAGCAGGAGCAAAGCTATCAGCCTCAGTGTTTCAGTCTTTCTACTGGAAGCCTGGCCAACTGCGTTGCTCCCCTGCTCTCAAAGCTTCTGTTGCCAACATCATGGTGCACAAGCTGGACTTGGCAGAGCCAGCACACCTGCTCTCAGTCTGATCTGTGCAATAGACAGTGGAAAGCGACTTTCAGACAGCTATATCAAAAATGTTGTGTGTCCCTGACAGCACCAGGAAAAAAAGATCAAATTAAAAAAAAAGAATAAAATTAATAAAATAAAATGTTCCCTACACAAGGATTAAGTTTACTTTTGAAATCTGATATATTGCAAAACAACATGGTGTGATAAAGGAAATTACCTCTGTAGCAAACTGCTGGGCCAAAACATCACTATTTGTTTTAAATGTTCTCCGAACATCTGTTACAGTGTTCATTACCAGGACTTGATTCCTCAGCCCTTCAAAGTGAAGAAAACACAAAAATTAGGAGAAGACATTAAAGCAGTGTTGGTAAACTTTCTTAATAAAGGAGGGCTCAAGTGCAACCCTAACACCTCCAAAGGGCCAGGGCCACACATGATATTCAGTAAATGTAATGTTACAGAAAGCTGACAGATACTGTAAATATGCAACAGTAGAAAAGAGACTATGGGCAAGTTTAGAGGTGGGAAGGCCTGGAAAAAAAAACAGAGAAATTGGGAAAAACTGTTTTGTTTTTTTTTCCATTTTTTCCTAAAGCCATTTTCCCCCCCAGAAATATTGAAAAAACAAGGAGCTTGCAATATGTTCTTGTACAATGATAATGAAAGATTTCTGAGACTTTATGTAAAGTCTTTAATTACTGCAAGTTCTCTCAGCTGAAGCAAGCACATCCTGGAATACAATTCAAGTAACACTTTACTTCTCAATGCAAAAATAAACAATATGATAAAATGTACCACCATTTAAAACTGTTTTTGCCCGCATCCCAATATATATAGACCAAGAAAAGCTAGAAATGTGGGACTTTGTATGGCAAAAACCACAATGAGTATGCAAAAATATAAAACAGTAATGTTTATTACAAAGGATTAACACAATAAAACAAATCAAAAGATTCAATATAGTAGCTTGTGGTACAATGATTCATATATCGCATATAGAACATACATAGTGTGCAAAAACCCCGACAGTCTGTAGTACATCAACTGGCAAATGGGTTGAAGGCCCAGGAGAGCTATTACAGTGATGTTGTTCAGACAAATCCAACTGTTTCTGAACTCTTATTTCCTTCTTCAGGGTTAATATATGTCAGGTCTAGAACATAACATATCAAATGAATGTAAACAATATAATACATAATATCATTTTGAATTGTTTACATTCAAATGAATATTATTATACAGTATTTATAAAGCGCCGATAGTTCGCTCAGCGCTGTACATTACAAAGGGGGACAGAACATGTGACAGAACAATAACAATACAATGCAAAACATGAGCGGATTGAGGGCCCTGCTCTTTCGAGCTTACAATCTAACAATATAAACAATATAGAACATAATATTATTTTAAAAAATTTTGCAAATAAATAAACCAACTTTTCTTCATAAATTTAGGTCAAAACGTATTCTGCTACATTTCTTTGGTTAAATACCCCAAATTAGTGTATATTTAGTCTGTAGGAAAGTTATAGAGTCCACAAACCATGGTATATATATCTGACAATTTCTAATTTCTTGAGGCCCAAAAACGCCAGGATAGTACAAATACCCCCCAAATGACCCCTTTTTGAAAAATAGACAGCCCAAGGTATTTAGTAAGAGGCAAGGTGAGTTTTCTTGAAGTTGTAATTTTTTGTTACAATTTTTTGGGAAAATGAAGAAATCTAAAAAAAAAAAAAAAAAAAAAAAAAAATCACAATTTTTTTTTACATATTGTCACCAGTCCAGTACAGCGTTATTATATAACTGGTGTGGAGGTGATCAGGGACACTGACTGGTGACCGTATGTAAAAAAAAAAATAAAAATAATTTTTTTTTTTCTAATTTTTCTATTTTGATATTACATTTTTTTTCTTTTACAATATACTCTCACCAAAGCAATACAATGTTACCCTAGTAACATTGAACTACTCTGGGCAAGTGATCAGGATTTTGTTTTTGCAACCATTGTTACCGAATTAAACTGATTCATTCAGTCTTTTGTTGTGATTAACTGTGATTGGGCAAAGCTCTTCACATGATACAGATGGGCTGTGATTGGCCCTGTCTGTACCATGTGATTGATTTGACCAATCACAGCTAACAACACATTTGTATACAACGGATGGCATGACAGGAAGCCATCCATTGTATACAACTGTCATGTGATCTGCTGTTATTGGTCACATGACCCTAGCAACGGGCCGGTGTAGTGATCTGTCATCGGTTGTGTCCCTTGGACACAGCCGCTGACAGCTCACGCCGCTGAGTGGCCCCATGGCCATGTGAGCGTCTCCTTCTGACAGGACGTTATATGACGCCCACTCAGAAGGAGGAGTGTCCCGCCCGGCCATCAATCTGCTATAGGCCGGGAGGGAAGGTGTTAGAAAGCAAGTTTAATTTATTTACCAAATTGGCTGTACTTTTATTTCCATTTGTAAAACTAATCAGGAGAGGTCTTCAAATGAGGAACTTCAGCACTTACCTCAAGTCAGCAGTACATGACAGGATGATAACCTACTAATTCCTACAGAGTGATCCTAATAATCCAGCAGGGATGTGGGCTGCCCACGAGGTTTAGGAGGTGGAAGGGCCAACTGCTGATTTCCTAGGTTAAAGCAGAACTTAATACAGAGAGCATGCTGGGGAGGAGCCAGGGCCGGGTTAACATAGGTGCTGTCTCAGTCAAAGGTTTTGTCCCAGAATCTGGCATGCTTCCTGCACCTGGAAGAGGCAGCCAGCTAAAGAGGACCAAGATGGAGGAGTGGGAATTGCAGTGTGGGAGAGTGGGAACGCTAGATGCACTATGTGGACAAATATGTTTCTGAAGAACATTACAGCACTACCAGAGAGTGGTATAAAAAAACATGGGGGGGGGGAGTAGTCCCAGTTTGCATAAGGGCCCTTTCACAAGGGCGGACCGATGGGTCCACCTGTCCAATTTTCAGGCAGACCCGATCAGACCATCCACTGATCTCTATGTAGCAGCAGATGTAAACAGTAATGTATTTGTTTAATGTATCTGTTTACACGCACCTGGATCAGATCCGCTAAAAACAGCTGGATGGGGATCTGTTCAAAATCCACCTAGCGCATTGGATCAGATAAAAGTCCCATACAGGACAGTAGGCTGTGTCTGCTCTGCATAAGCATAGTGGACAGGAACTTGTCATCCTTCTGCTCAGCCAGGATTAGAGGACAGATCCCTGCTGAGCTGATGAATCCCCTGGCGGAGTCTGCCACTGTGAAGGGGGCTTAACAGTGCATTTTGAATTCACAGTTCCCAATTTACTCCAAAAAAATATGCAAGTGTGAATTTACACTATATTGCCAAAAGTATTGGGACACCCCACCAAATCATTGGATTCAGGTGTGCGCAGAAGTCGCCAACTGTCTGCAGAGTCAATAGCTAAAGATCTCCAAACTTCTTGTGGCCTTCAGATTAGCACAACAGTGCACAGAAAGCTTCATGGAATGGGTTTCCATGGCCAAGCAGCTACATCCAAGCCTTACATCACCAAATGCAATGCAAAGCGCGGAATGCAGTGGTGTAAAGCATGCCACCAATGGACTCTAGAGCAGTGGAGACATGTTCTCTGGAGTGACCAATCACGCTTCTCTGTCTGATTTGGCCTGACAGCATTGTGCCAAGTGTAAAGTTTGGTGGAGGGGGGATTATGGTGTGGGGTTGTTTTTCAGGGGTTGGGCTTGGCCCGTTAGTTCCAGTGAAGGGAACTCTTAAGGCGTCAGCATACCAAGACATTTTGGACAATTTCATACTCCCAACTTTGTGGGAACAGTTTGGGGATGGCCCCTTCCTGTTCCAACATGACTGCGCACCAGTGCACAAAGCAAGGTCCATAAAGATATGGATGAGCGAGTTTGGGGTGGAGGGACTGGGCTGCACCGTCCTGACCTCAACTTGATAGAACACCTTTCGGATGAATTACAGTGGAGACTGCGAGCCAGGCCTTCTCGTCCAACATCAATGCCTGACCTCACAAATGTGCTTCTGGGATAATGGTCAAACATTCCCATATACACACTCCTAAACCTTGTGGACAGCCTTCCCAGAAGAGTTGAAGCTGTTATAGTTGCAAAGGGTGGGCCAACTCAATATTGAACCCTATGGACTAAGACTGGGATGCCATTAAAGTTCATGTGCGTGTAAAGGCAGGCGTCCCAATACGTTTGGCAATATAGTGTATATCGCCTGTTTAGACCCTTTACAAGTGCCACTGCACTACTATAAGAAAACTAAAACAAGTGTAAACAAGTACATAGATAGTTTTAACGGCATTAACGGCTCTTTTCAATTTCTAGGTATAAATACTGTTAAACCCTAAAAGTATTGCCTAAGTAGTATGTGATCCATTGTTTTTAATACAAACCTGCGGAAAAGCTACAATCCAGTCGAGGGTTTAAGCACCATACACAGCTCCATACATTGGAAACTTTGATATTGTATAGCATTACAGGTTGGCCATCATCTAAAAATTAAGATATAATAAAAAAAGTTTTAAAACTGAGAAGAGATTTGTAATGTTTATTCTGGTTACTAAATATAAATTTCTACTGAAGACGATCACTTAACAATGCAGTGTCAACTCTGAGTTACTGTGTTCAAATCCAACCAGATCTCCATTGATGGAGTATTTATTTTCCTCCCATGTTCAGTAGGTTTTATTCCACAGTTTGAGGCTTCATGCACACTGGCTAAAAAAAAAAAATGCTTCTCCTAGAGTTTAGCATTTTGCTTGTAGAAGCAACTAATTATCCTGTGTGTCCATGCACATTACGTAGTCTAGAGGCGTTTTTTAAGCTCAGTGTTAGAGGCAGAAAAAAAAACCCCTTCTGGTTTGCAGTTTTGAGAGTGATTTTTCTGGCAGAAAAAAATGCTAAACGCTAGTATAAAAAAACCACTCAAAATTAGCGTTTTTTTTTCCTGCCAATAGTAAAAAAAGTGCCAAGAGCACTTGCGTTTTTTTTTGTTTTTTTTTTTTAAACCAGTGTGCATGGAGCCCAAAACATACAGATAAGATTAATTTCTTCTGCCTAGATTGGCACTTGAATGTATGACTGAGTTTGTGTAACAGTGTACTGGGATTAAGGATTGACTTCATCAGGCTCCTACAGATTCTTAGTACAGCTGTCTGCCCATACTTCTCATACGGGCGGACAGTTACTGAAGAGTGGAAAGATCAATAAACTATGAGTGCGCTCACCAACGCCCACAGAGTTCATTGAGAACTACAGGCCGTCTGCCACGGTCACATATGGTACCTGTATTCCATTCATTCACAGATTGCTGTGAATGAATGACTTCGCTGTGGGGCCACCGTCACAGAGGCAGAACGGGGGGGGGGGGATCATGTTACACCCTAAATATGGGTGTAACATGCTCCCAAAGGTGAACTTATCCTTTAACATATTAGCTGACTTTGTTGGATATTTATTTTTTTTCATTCTAAACAACTAGGTGACTATCGGTATTAACATCAACTGAAATGCCTCATAAAAATTTAGCAAAGATCAACTAATGGAATCTCTCTTTAGCTTGTTTACTGTTTTTCGCAAAACAAAATTACCTGCGTCAGGGGCCAAGTTTCTGAACAGACATGCTGGTATAAGGCTAACACAGCCTGGACTATCTTGTCTTCCCAGGAGAGAAATACTGAATTGCCATTAAGGAATATACATAGTCATCAAGTACTCTGCTGTATTTCAAGTGCATCTATGATCAAAATGTAGAATTATTTCTTAATTTCCACAATGAATTTCAATTATTTCTAGCCTACTCCTATTAATGTGAACCATCTTGAAGTTTGAAGGCTTACTTTGTGAAGAATCCTGCACATTTACTTCCTTGAATTCTGTGACATATTCACTATGCCCTGTAAGTAGACACCGCTGTGTCACATATTCCACAGAACCTGCTGTCTGGCACAGTCAGTAAAGGAATAACTGCTTACAGTCAGAAAGTTACCATGGGATATGCAGTCCTTAGAAATAGAAAGTAAACCAAAGAAATGATCAAGAGAAAAGCTGCAAAGCAAGCAGGGAATTCAGGAAGTTGTGGAAAGAGATGGCCAGCAGACAGGCAGCACTCAAGGCATGAAAGGTGATTTCAGTAAGCTTATATTGGATTGTCCAAAATAATTACTGTTTGTATTGTTATTACATTGCTAATGTTATAAAAAGAAAGTGTATGCTGTGACTATATATCTCCTTTAAACTTTGTCTTGTTTATAAAAAAAAAAAAAAAAAAGGATACAGGACATGTGAGTCTGGTCCAGTGAGTGTGGCCCAACATGCAACATTTACCTTCAAAGGGAAACAAATGCTGTAAGTGACCAAGAAACAGTAAACTCCCAATCTCAATACTGAATAGATAAAATGATGTAGAACAACTTCAGATCTTACACAAATAACTTTATAAAAAGTTTGCCTGACAAAGCACATTGGTGACTCCCACCGTATTGTTCAGGGATGCGCAATTTGTATTGCCAGACGCCCAAGACATGTAGTTCCAGGCGAGGTGCAGGTAGTTTTTGTTTGCATTTAGCACTGCTGCAGGCAAACAGCAGGACTTGTCAGGTGGAAGCATTCAGGAGACTCGATTGCTTGCATACATGCTGAGAAAGAGCGCGCCCCCCCCCCCCCCCCCGCACATGTGCCTGCTCTGTATCCCGGGCTCCGCTTGCCCATCTGCGGACACAGGTTGGGAATAGTGGGCGATGCTGGTTACACACATCCACAGATAAAATACCTCTTCCCAAAAATGTTGAGGCCCCCCACCACCACAAATACACACATGCAAATGCAAGCGTCAGGGCGCCTACACATATTGCCGCACATGCTGGAGTGGGAGCAATATTTCTAGCACCAGACCTCTTCCATAGCACTAACCTAATGACCTATAGGTGTTTTTTTAAAGTGTCACCTATAGAAAATATAGGGTACTGAAGTTTGTCGCCATTTCATGGGTGCACGCAAATTTAAGGTTTGACATGTTGGGTATCTATTTACTCGGTGCAAGCTCATCTTTTATATTTTCCCAAAAAATTGGGGAATTTATTGTGTTGTTGTGCCCTAAAATTAACATTAGTGTGTTTTTTAACTGAAATTTTGCGTTTCCTAAACCTTTGCGGTAATATCATGTGGCATAAAAAATTGGGGCTACAACTATTTTATTCTCTAGGGTGTCTGATTTCAGAAAATATGTTTTGGGGGTTTATATGCAATCTTCAGGCCTAAGGTGATATTTTTAAATGTGTGCAAAAAAACATAAACAATCAAAAACTGCTCTGGCAGTGAAAGTGTTAAAGGATACGTTCATCTTCAGGGAACATGTTAAATGTTCGACTTTTTTTGAATTTGTTTTGTTTTCTTAAGGTGGAACATGTAACATGTTCCCGCTCCTGCAGTACCTCGGTGATCCAAGCCCTTTGTGTCACAACAGTATGGGGAGAAGTTCCCTGTACCCGATGTCACTTTTTGAAAAGAGAGCGACTGTGCGGCACTCTGCCCACACAGCCATATCATTCATTCAAAGAGTTCTGTGAATAAATCAACTACAACTTACTTCCTGTCAGTGTGAAACTGCCTGCCCAAATGATGTACAATGTACAGGCAGATTACACTGACAGTCTGCAGGAGTCCTGCATTATACCCACAAACTGCTGATCACTGGTGCAATGCTTTCCAGGCTCCTAAAATGTTTTTTAAATAAATAGTAAATGCACATTTTTTTTTACCTGCAAAAAAAAAATGAATGTTTTATTCTTTTTTTTAAAGGTGAACTTATCCTTTAATGGAGCGGACTCCAGAGGTTGATTTGGCTGCTCAGCATGTGCTTGTACAGAGCACCCAAGTGCTTCCATGTGTGAGTCACCTGAAGGAATAAAGTCCCTGGATGCAGTGCTGGAGACAGGCAGGGAGGTGAGGAGGAGATACACAGTGCAATGTTAAAAATATTAAAAGTTTAAGTTGCCATAAAGCCCTTTTTGTTTTTAAAAGCCACACCGCAGATTTAAACATGGTTTTGGTTAAAATTATTGTTTTTCTTTTATCAGAACAAGTAGCTTGTCCTGACAGACAGGTAGATTGGGACCCCTACTTAGTCCTTGGATACGTCGTTTTTTAAAAAATGTCCAAACCCCTGTTAAACGCTTCCAACGCCGCTCTATAGCAGAAATACTGCTATATTGATGCACGTGTGTGCAAAATCACATATATATATATATATATATACACATGATTTTCGCAGTTCCGGGTAGGGGGGCATGTGCGTGCCCTACCCACGCCGCCATTTGCGGCCTTGCCTGTCAATCACAGAGTCCCGGCCGGTGATTCCCTGCTGGCAATCTCCAAGGATTTCCGACGGGGGAGAGACCTGTATGTAAACAATGCAGATCTCTCCCGTCAGCTCCTGCACACTGCTTTGTATAACAGAGCCATACAAAGCAGTGTGCTTACAGTGAAATACACACACATCCTACATATTAAAACAGCACACAGTTAACCTTTTGATCTCTCCAGAGGTTAACCCCTTCCTGCCCAGTGCCAATAGTAGAATGTCAGTGCTTTTTATTAGCACTGATCGCTGTATTGGAGTCACTGGGGATGCCCCCCCCCAGTGTCAGAATGCCCGCCGCAGCCCTGCTATAAGTTGCTGATCGCCACCATTACTAGTTAAAAAAAAAAAAAGAAATTCCAATATACAGTGGGGATCGAAAGTTTGGGCACCCCAGCTAAAAATTTGTATTAATGTGCATAAAGAAGCCAAGGAAAGATGGAAAAATCTCCAAAAGGCATCAAATTACAGATTAGACATTCTTATAATATGTCAACAAAAGATAGATTTTATTTCCATCATTTACACTTTCAAAATAACAGAAAACAAAAAAATGGCGTCTGCAAAAGTTTGGGCACCCTGCAGAGTTAATATCTTGTACTGCCCCCTTTGGCAAGTATCACAGCTTGTAAACGCTTTTTGTAGCCAGCCAAGAGTCTTTCAATTCTTGTTTGAGGTATCTTTGCCCATTCTTCCTTACAAAAGTCTTCCAGTTCTTTGAGATTCCTGGGCTGTCTGTCACGCACTGCTCTTTTAAGGTCTATCCATAGATTTTCAATTATGTTGAGGTCAGGAGATTGTGAAGGCCATGGCAAAACCTTCAGTTTACGTCTCTTGATGTAATCCCCCGTGGATTTCGAGGTGTGTTTAGGATCATTATCCATTTGTAGAAGCCATCCTCTCTTTAACTTCAGCTTTTTCACAGATGGCATCAAGTTACCATCCAAAATTTGCTGAAATTTTATTGAATCCATTTTTCCTTCTACTCGTGAGATGTTCCCTGTGCCACTGGCTGCAACACAACCCCAAAGCATGATTGATCCAACCCCATGCTTAACAGTTGGACAGAGGTTCTTTTCATTAAATTCTGTGCCACTTCTTCTCCAAACATACCTTTGCTCATTCCGGCCAAAAAGTTCAATTTTAACCTCATCGGTCCACAGAACTTGTTTCCAAAATGCATCAGGCTTGTCTATATGTTCATTTGCAAAGTTAAAACGATGATTTTTGTGGTGAGGTTGTAGAAGAGGTTTTCTTCTGATGACTCTTCCATGAAGACCATATTTGTACAAGTATCTCTTTATAGTGGAATAGTGTACCACAACTCCATTGTCTGCCAGATCTTTCTGGAGGGATTGTGCAGTCAAACGTGGGTTTTGAATTGTTTTTCTCACAATCCTGCGAGCTGTTCTGTCTGATATTTTTCTTGGTCTTCCAGATCTTGCTTTAACTTCCACTGTTCCTGATGACTGCCATTTCTTAATTACATTCCGAACAGAGGATATTGACATCTGAAAACGCTTTGCTATCTTCTTATAGCCTTCTCCAGCTTTGTGAGCGTCAACTATTTTCAGTTTCAGTTTTCTAGACAACTGCTTAGAAGAACCCATGGTGCTGATCGTTGGGGCAAGGTCAGATGAGTCTGGGCATTTAAAACCTTTGAGATTGACATCACCTGGTCTTTCCAGACGATGATTGAGAACAATCTTTGACACTGGCAGGTCTCAGCTTGGCAAAGGGGGCGGTGCATGCTATAAATTCTGCAGGGTGCCCAAACTTTTGCAGACGCCATTTTTTTGTTTTCTGTTATTTTGAAAGTGTAAATGATGGAAATAAAATCTAACTTTTGTTGACATATTATAAGAATGTCTAATCTGTAATTTGATGCCTTTTGGAGATTTTTCCATCTTTCCTTGGCTTCTTTATGCACATTAATACAAATTTTTAGCTGGGGTGCCCAAACTTTCGATCCCCACTGTATATATATTACCATTTGTAAACGCTATAACGTTTACGTAAACCAATTAATTTACACGTATTGGGTTTTTCCTTTTTTTTTTTTTTTTTTTTTTTTAGAAAAGACGTGTAGCAGAAAACATTTTGACCTAAATTTATGATGAAATTTGAGTGTTACATTTTTTTTACTGGACATGTTTCATAGCAAAAAGTCAAAAATATATTTTTTCCCAAAACTGTCGGTCTTTTTTTGTTTATAGCGCAAAAAATTAAAACCGCAAAAGGTGATCAAGTACCACCAAAAGAAAGCTCTATTTGTGGGGAAAAAAGGACATAAATTTAATTTGGGTACAGCGTTGCATGACTGCACAATTTTCTGTTAAAGTAATACAAAAAGTGGCCTGGTAAGGAAAAGGGGTAAATCCTCTGGAGGGCAAGTGGGTACTAAACACTCAATGACAAGTAGAACATGGCTGCATGGCCAAAACAAAGGTAGACAGATCTGTGGCCATACAAATCCAACCAGGTTAGCTGAAAGACTATATTATAAGAACAGTAGTACTATGACTGCAGAAAGTTACAGATGTGTTTCTGGTACAACTGAATCTGCATTGAAAATCTTGTAAAAAATATGTTATGAGGGGACAAAACAAAAACTGTTGTGTTAACGCTACTGACAAACTGCATTATACAGAAATGGCCAAAATATTGGCACCCCTGCCTGTCAGATAATGCACCACTTTGTCCAGAAAACAGTTGCAACTAGAAAATCTACAATTTCTGGGGAATGATGAAAGTAATGATTCTGTTTTTAAAGTTTCTGAAGTAATGATGAAATGTAAGCAGTGCACATAGCAAGCCTGATAGTGAGAAATGGATTTCAGCTTGTATTTTGGAGCTCACAGTTAGCCTCAATGACTCAGCTGCGTGTGAGTCATGTTTGGTTGCTATAGCAACTCAGGAATGTCAGCAGGTCTGTTGTAAACACAGTGTTTAAACTTGCCAACTTCACTGGCGATTGCCATCTTCAAACGCTTGTAGTTTTAAAAGTATAAATGCTACTGCGAAGAGCTTGGTATTGCAAGAATCACAAGAAACTGAGCTAAATGTTGATGTATAGTATGTGTCTGAAAGATAAAAAATGAAGGCACAGTCGCAGTTTAAAAACGTCCCTTAAAATTTCCGGTGTCTAGAGTGGAGTTTCAATGAAAGTCAATGGGAGGGGTGAGGTGCAAACAAATGGTCATATTGTGAAAACTATAAGAACTATGGCTTAGCCGTGGACATTTTTAGTGGCAGCAGGGATAGCTGAAAGTGTTGATATACGATTTGTGTAGGTGGGCTTGAAAATGAGGGAGTGATGGCAGTTTAGAAATCATGTCCTGATTTTTCAGCTCACACTCTAGCTTTGTCAGCTCCCACTCTAGTTTTAAACATTCTGCCATTCATTCACAGAGTGATGGCAGTTTACAAATCATGTTCTGATTTTGCCTTCCACCCTGTAGCTGTGCTCTGCTGCCACTCTAGATGCACCATTCATTCCTATGGGAAAATTTTGCCACAAAAACCGCGATATTTCTTGAACGATTCGGCGAAACGTTCCACAAAGTAATAGCAATCCGATCGGGAACAATCCGCACGTTTTGATATATTACTTGTCTTTGTAGTGTAAAAACTGTGGGAGGAGTTAGCGTGGCAAATTTGGCTATAAGAATAAGAATATACTTGTGAGATAACAATAAGTGTTCCTGCTATGCAAGAACACTTAATTACAAATGTTTAGGCATGCTCATGTTTTATATTGGAAAGACACAAAAAAAAGGAGAAAACAAAAAGCCAAATTTGACATTCCACGCAAAACCCCAAAAATGGACTGGACAAAATTATTGGGACTCCAATTTTAATGTTTGATAGCACACCCGTTGGAGAAAATAACTGAAATCAACTGCTTCCTGTAACCATAAAGAAGTTTCATACACCTCTACTGGAATTTTGGACCACTCTTCTTTCGCCAACTGCTCCAGGTCTCTAAGATTGGAAGGGTTCCTTTTCCCAACTGCCGTTTTGAGATCTCTCCACAACAGCTCTATGGGATTGGGATTGTTTCTCCCATTTTTGTGTCATACCAATACAAACAAAAGAAATAAACATGAGACTATCTAAACATTTGTAATTGCAACAATTTTCTGGGCAAAGTGGTGCATTATCTGAGAGAATTGCAGGGGTGCCAATATTTATGGCCATGACTGTATATGTCATTTTTATATTGCCCATAGTTAGATTTTAACTTTTTGTTCCTTAAACACTGTGTGACACTACTCCTATCAGCTGCCAAATCATGCACCCTTGTCCTATGTGCAAATGCATCTCTCCTAATCATGACGTGGTACCAGCTTCACCTCAGATTTAGTCTATAACTGCTGGCTGAACATGCAAGCATCAGTAAATCATCCTGTAAGCCAAAACATAAGGGGAGGGGGGCAATGCTGCTACTCTGTACATGCACAGAGAGTGAGCATAGCCACCCCAGGGTAGAAAGTGCATTACTGGCAGGATCAAAAGGTAAAAATTGAATTAATTATGCAGTCATTTATGTCTAACAATGTAGCATATATTGAACATCTGATACCTAATCTATGACCTGCCGTGTCACAGACACCCTGCCTGCACTTAATTTGAATATTCCCAGTGGGTGCCCTCACATCAGGATGTCAACAGTGCAACCATCTCTTGAATCACATTGGCAAATGCCACCTCTAAATCAGAACCATTAAGTGAACACAATGCACATCCTAATTACATAATAGCATGTCTGTTCACGAGATACATTTCTCTGCATGTCACTATGCTAGTGCAAACATACAGTATACTGCACTGCTAAACTACATACAACTACATACAACATAATTATATTTGTGAACATTAAACCATGTGATGCAGCGCAGACTGACAAAGCAGTTTCCACACCCAACAATCTTTGAATACCTTATGATTTGTAAAGTAGGGATTATCGTGGCTTTCCACAGTGGGCACATCTTTCCACAGTCCGTTAATGTTCAGAAGACCATATTTACAGAACCCATTCTCCATGTCACTTACTGCAAATAATCTCTGGCATGATGAATCTGCCTGGAAAAAGTGCAATTTGATCACCACTGCAGATTAGTTAATTAAAACAGAGAAATAAATGTACATCTGTACCAACATTAGAAACTGTCTCTTTATATGTACAGCCTGAGAATAAATGTTTTAATATTGTGAACCTACCAGAATAAACTCAAACTTGTGTGCTCCTGGACCAACAGGCTCAGGATTGGCAATATGTACTTCCTTTCTCTGCATACAGTTCACTTTGAGTTCATGGACACGCCTGCAACAAAAAACATTATAAGGCTGCATGCACACTAGCATTTTTTTATTAGCTCAAAAATGCTATATTATTGCAAGTGTGAGGAATTGTTTCCATGCATAATTCTTGCTGTATAGTCTTGTTCCTGTTTTGACAATAGAGCGTGCTCTAAAAGAGACCTTAGTGGCTGGAAGCAAAAGTGACCTGTTGTTTGGTAAGCTTATACTGATTCACTGTATGTAGCATCCTAGGCAATGCAACTAGACAATGTTGTAATCCTTCCCCTTATTCAGTATATGTATGCTGTGGTTGTTTCATGAAAGCTTATGTAGTTTTTGTATGTAAACATTTACTTTTTACGAAAATAAAAACTTGTTTGGATTAAAATAAACAAATACATATTTTATTTATATTATTTGTATATATATATATATAAAAATATATATATATACATATACATACACACATATATATATATACACACACACACCATATTACCAAAGTATTGTGATGCTCCTCCAATCATTGGTTTCAGGTGTTCCAATCTCCTCCATGGCCACAGGTGTATAAAATCAAGCACCTAGGCATGCAGACTGCTTCTACAAACATTTGTGAAAGAATGGCTCGCTCTCAGGAGCTCAGTGAATTCAAGCATGGTACTGTGATAGGTTGCCACCTGCGCAATAAGTCCATCTATGAAATATCCTTGCTACTAAATATTCTGTTAGTGGTATTATAACAAAGTGGAAGCAACTGGGAACAACAGTAACTCAGCCACAAAGTGGTAGGCCACGTAAAATGACAGAGCGGGGGTCAGCGTATGCTGAAGCGCACAGAAGTCAACAACTGTCTGCAGAGTCAATAGCTAAAGACCTCCAAACTATGTGTGGCCTTCAGATTAGCACAACAGTGCGTAGAGAGCTTCAAAAAATGGGTTTCCATGGCCGAGCAGCTGCATCCAAGCCTTACATCACCAAGTGCAATGCAAAACGTCGGATGCAGTGGGGTAAAGCACGCTGCCACTGGACTCTAGAGCAGTGGAGATGTGTTCTCTGGAGTAATGAATTACGCTTCTCTGTCTGGCAATCCGACAGACGTATCTGGGTTTGGTGGTTGCTAGAACGGTACTTGCCTGACTGTATTGTGCCACATGTAAAGTGTGTGAAGGGAACTCTTAAGATGTCAGCATACCAAGACATATTGGACAATTTTATGCTCCCAACTGTTTGAGAACAGTTTGGGGATGGCCCCTTCCTGTTCTAACATGACTGCGCACCAGTGCACAAAGCAAGGTCCATAAAGACATGGATGAGCGAGTTTGGGGTGGAGGAACTTGACTGGTTGCAAAGAGTCCTGACCTCAACCCGATAGGAAACCTTTGAGATGAATTAGAGCGGAGATTGCGAGCCAGGCCTTCTCACCTGACATCAGTGCCTGACCTCACAAATGCGCTTCTGGGATAATGGTCAAACATTCCCATAGACACACTCCTAAACCTTGTGGACAGTCTTCCCAGAAGAGTTGAAGCTGTTATAGCTGCAAAGGGTGGGCCAACTCAATATTGAACCCTATGGACTAAGACTGGGATTCCATTAAAGTTTATTTGCGTGTAAAGGCAGGCCAACCAATACTTTTGGCAATATAGTGTGTATGTATGCTTGTGTGTGTGTGTGTGTGTATATATATATATATATATATATAATGTATTTAATTCTATACCTAACAAGGATGATGGATGCCAGCAGACAGGTCTTTAAAGGAGACAGAAGACAAAACATTTAAGGGGTTAAAGTACACCTCTTCTTCAGGGCTTTAAGTCATATAAAAATTTAAATATCAATATATCTGAAATAGCCGAATTCAGGGCTTAAAATTTCAAGTCCTGAGCTACTAGCCAGGCCTTAAGAGTTACTCGCCACCAACAAACACACACAGAGACACCTGTACACACACACAGACATGTACAAACACACAGAAACATGTACACACACATACAGACACATATATACATACAAGCACACATACACACAGATACATGTACATACACAGAAATATACACGCACAGACACATGTACGTGCACACACACGCAGACACATGTACAGATACACACATGTACATACACACAGACACATGTACATGCATACACAGACACAAACGTACACACAAGTACACACACACCACACCCCCCATAAAAAGTTGCAGTACTTCGTTGTTTACTCATAGAGCCGGGTACTGCACTCTAGGGGGAGGCCAAGAGCACAGCACACACTCCTTCCTTTGCTTTCACTGCGCTCAGCTATTGAGCAGTCTGACAGCTCCCAGTGCCAATGACAGATCCGGCCTGAGCTCCGAGCCTACTCACCAAGACGGCCCTGGGGGACACACTCGCCCCCACCATAATTTCCACTCGCCATTGGCGAGTAGGTGAGTGGAAATTTCAAGCCCTGGCCTAATTAACTCTGCATAGAGCTAGAACCTTTGTTGGGGTTTTTAGAGCTACTTGTAACCCTTTTGGGTAAATGCGCTTCACATGCTGTACTAATGACACCAGGAAAAGAAATGGAGGCACCCAGAGACACCAGGACAGAAAGGCAATAAAACCCACAAAGAGCCTCCACCCATCCCCATTATACTAAATAAAGTTAAAATCATAATGACTCCATCAAAATATACTGTATCAGTATCCTTTGGTCAAATGTCAGTGATTAGATTTGACACAGCACTATACACTAGGTAAAACACTTTAAAATACTGTATAATCAACCCGTAATGTTTTACCCTTAAAAAAATCCAAAAAATGAAGGAGCATGTAGTGGACCCGTATTATAATTTTATTTTTACCTGCAGTATGTTGTAAATGGCATCAGTCCAAGCTGTCGTTTCCACACTAGCATAGATGCATTTACTCCAGGCCTGGTGGATTTCTGAATAAACCAAGAATTTTTATTGAACATTAACAGTAATCACATCTGGCAACAGATAATTACATCCTGAAACAGGACAATCTTGTCTGGTCCACATTTCATGATTACATTCAAAGTTCTTGTCTCAAACCTTTATCATTACTAAACTGTTTGTATGTTATAAAAGGGCAGCATAATAGCCATTTAGATCAAAGGTCAATATAGGACACTACATATATGATGATAACATTTAAAACCACTTCATACCAGAACGCAGTGTGGGAAACCCATGCTCCGTATCCCACAACATGTTAAAAATGCACTGCACTTGCAAACTGCAGTGGGTGTCAGTGTTAACTTAATGATACCCCAAACACAGGTCTCTAACTCAGTGTGTTTGCCTGCACCGATTTGCATGGTACAGTAGTGCCATGTCATCCGGTTGCTGTGCATTTTTTAATATAGTGTATGCATCACCTTTGCTGCAGTCCGAATTAATTTCACCCCATTCAAATGGGCGGGCTGAAATCACACTGTACAGTGCATTCCTTTGTGATTCATGGTGTGAACTAGCCCTTCTAAGAAGGGTAAAAACACTTGTCAGTGCTATATCAAACTTACCAAACCAGCACCCACCTTTCTATTTTTGTCTTCTTCAAGAAGTTGAAGCCTTTTCTGTTCCATTTCCTTCTGCATTATACCCTCTCTAGTCAATGGGTTACAGTTATTGTGTCCTGGAAGCAGGCGAAAATACCTGTTCTTTTCGGGGTCATAGTAAAACCCTGGTAGTTCTAAAAGGAATAAAAAAAACCCTGTGATTTACTTATTCATGGTCTCTGTGGGTCCCATTTATAATAACACTGTTATAGCACATGAGAATATGTATTGCATTTATATGTATAAAAACTGGGCATATGCAAAACTGTTGTTACCTGGCACTGAAGATCTCTGATTACTACTAGCGGATGAACTTGCTAGTGTGCTTGATTCTGATGATTCCGATATACCTGACCTATACCTAATTAGAAGAAATAAAATGTCATTAGTAGACCTTATAAATACAAAGGGAGCGTGTTAAAGGTACAGAGGTGCAGAGAATCTGTAGAAGACGGTAGTTTTTTTCCTGCCTTACAAGCTAGTGTTGATTAAAAGTATCCATGAAGTCAGCAAGTTTGTTATTCTTCATGTATACTGTTCAATTACTGAGCAATTAAAAATGAAAGAAAATCATACATGCTTCCTTCCAAAGCCAAATCAAAAAATACTGGAATAATGATTGGACATCAGAAAAAATCTAATTAGAGCAAAAGTAACAAAATTGCAAACAAAGAACATAATCAATAAAGTACACCTGTCAGGATTAAATCGTATAGCCTGTTAAACTCTCCTTTCCAGAGTCGTTGTCGTCATTCTCTGATTGCAATGTTAATGCTTTGGCTTCACTGCTTTATGAGTTACTGACCGACGGACAACAAGAGTACAGGTATGAGAAATTCTGACACTTATAGTATGCTAGTTGACATTGATGACTCAAATGTATCTTAGCCAGACACAGCTAGGCAATTAGCATGTTCAGAAGTAGGTCAGAAAAGGCAGCCCACATATTAGTCGTATATTAGGTCTACTTTAATGCATGCTAAGACAACTAACATGCCATTAGGCTGTTTACAGCAGATTTTTGGTATGCAAAATATACGATTGAAAGAGTTTTGTTATATCTGTTTAATAAGTGCTAAAAAAAAAACCCTGTTGATCCTGCCATAAATATTGTGAGTGAATTACTTCCTGTGTTCTCTGTCTATGTTGCACTGTTATCAGTTAGCACTGTTCACAGTTCTCTGCGAACTACAGAAACCCCACTCCATATATTATAAAGAAAAGAGATTAGGAAGTGTTCTGTAATCCTACCACTTTTCCTGTCCTATGGCGACAACATTGCTCCTCCAAAGATGCAGTGAGTGGGCACTGTCACACTAGTACATGAAGTGTGTTATTGGCTAGATCCCTAGGTGAAAATAATGAAGTAACAGCCTGGAAAAATGAAACCAAAGCAGCCACTGCCTCTCAGTAAGGTAAGCTGCAATATTTTACATTTTTATCCTTGGGTTTAGATAACCTCTAAGAATCTATTAGCTTTCTTTAAATACTTTAGACTTAAAAACTTCGGATTTTTAATAAAGAAAAAGGATTTAATTAACCTCAGATCGTGTTGATGCTGAGTAATTGTAGGGTACGTGAAACTCCACAACAGTAAGCAGCAATGTAGAAAACGCGAGTGGCTTATGTTTCACAGTCTGTCCCCAGATAACATGATCAGAAAGTTAGTATTTGCATACTTTGAAGGAGAGCGCATATACCTTTTATTAAAGTGCCTCTGAGAATTATTTCTCCACCATTTACGATTATTCTCTCTCTTAGGACCCATTTCTTTTGTCTGGTAACATTAACATTGCTCGAGGCTGTAAAAATATATTCAGTTAGTATACACAAATCACTGAACTAATCACAAGCGCTAGCAGTTATTAGCTAGCAGCAACAAAAATGGAATAATTTAGTTGCGCATATATATCTATATACACACACACAGATACATACATACATATACAGCCCTCGAAATTTCCACTCGCCCGCTCACACTGGGTGAGTGGAAATAAGGTGGAGGCGAGCACTGCTGGGATTAGGGGTGTGTGAGAGGGACAGCGGTGGGGGCGGTAATAAGTGATCTCCTGTATGTCTTTCCAGGAGATTGCTGCTTGTCACCGCCCCCACCGCTCATCCCTGATCGTTGCCACCCTCCAGCTGTGTGCTTTTCAGTGCCCAGCCCCTCCCCGTCCTCCGCACCAAAGGAGAACAGGGAAGAGAGGCTAGATCTGCTCTGCCTCCCCCTGTCCCTGGCCACACTCCAGTCCCTGCAGCTGCAGAGGATGTGTGGGTGGGAAATTGTACACAGAGCAGCAGACAGCTCTGATGCATGACTGAGCCAGTGAGTCTGACCTCCCTTCCTTCCACTCACCCCTCCCTTCCTTGAACCCACCTCTCCCTTCCTTCCATCTATCCCTTCCTTCCTTCCACCCACCCCTCCCTTCCTTGAACCCACCTCTCCCTTCCTTCCACTCACCCCTCACTTCCCTCCAATCCTTTCTTCCACCCCTTCCTTCCACTCACCCTTTACTTCCTTCCCACCCTTCCCTTCTTTCCACCCCTCCCTTCGTTCTTGCCTTCCTTCCACCCCTCCCTTCCTTCTTGCCTTCCTTCCACCCCTCCCTCCCTTCTTGCCTTCCTTCCACCCCTCCCTCCCTTCTTGCCTTCCTTCCACCCCTCCCTCCCTTTCTTCCTTCATTCTGCATAACACCTTTAACAGTGCCATTTCATGAGATAATTTACGAGTGCGTGTTTAGGGAGGGCTGATGGGAAGTAACTTGTAAGTCCTGGCTAGTAGCTCGGGTCTTGAAATTTTAAGCCCTGTATATGAAGCCAGGTGCTCGTGTAGATAGGGTAGTCATATATTCACCTACCCTTAACTCTGATTTCAATTCTGGTTAGATGGTGTGTTGGGAATCACCCTCATTGTTCTAAAGGGCAATACTACACAAATGATTTAGACTGAAGCTACCTGCCATTCTCATTGAATAAGTCCTTCCTACCACAGTCTGCAATAGTTGGCTCTGGGCTCACCATAGTTCTCCATTTAGGCAAAGGCTAAGGTCTTCCCCATTTCTGGGTTAATTGTGTTCACAACATCGGCAATAAGTTCCACTTCTACCTCCAAGATCTGTTTATTGAATTATCTGCAAGTTCATTTTAAGCTGTGCATTTCTCTCTGTGATCTCTCAACTCTATTGATGAGATTCTTCCATCCCAACACACACAGGTCTGGTGCCAGAAATGTGACATGTCGTGTTTGGCTGTCTGCTGTTGTGGTCCCTTAGCAGTGATTTTAGGGCCGGTCAGACCACGTTGGGCAGTGTACAGGGTGAAAGGTATTTGACAGCTATGTTTACATTTTCCTGGTATCAAACAGCCTGGGTAACAGGTAGGGTTGCAACCTCACAGTTAGGCTAGGTTCACACTTGAACATCTGCATTTTCATGTGTTTTTGTGTGCACACTATTTAATGCATTTTTGTCAGCAATGGAAGCACCTGCACCTTTTTCCAAGCTGCAGAGAAGCACGTTGCATAGGTGTGAACGGCCCCTATAGACAATAAAAGGATTCCTTCTGTCTTGCATTGCTGTGTGACAAATTGCACTGCACAATGTATGGATTGCACTAACTCTGAAGCAGTGTCAACAATTAATGGTAAAGATATAACATGGGGAGAAGTTTTTGTTCCAGAAGAATAATAACTTTAGGGCTCATTTACACGTGGTAAAAATGGACGGTTGAGCCGCATTTTTCACCACCACCCCAACTGCCCCTCCTTAAAGAGGTTCTAAAGTCTTGTTTTTTTTTTTAAACTTAAAGCATTCTATGCACAAAGGTAAAAAACACTCTAATACTAGTGTACCCCCTCCCTGTTCCATAACACTAAGCTGAGTGCTCCATCGATCCAGCGCTGTGCCTGGCTGCAGCTCTTCTCCCCTCATTTCCTGCCATCACATGAGATTCTGAAAGCAGTGGGAGCCATAGGGTCCGGCTGCTGTCAATCAAATCCTGTGAGGAGGTAGCAGGGGTGTGCTGGTGGTCAGTGGAACTTTGCCCCCTCGTGCTGGTGCTCAGTGGAACTTTGCCCCCTCGTGCTGGTGCTCAGTGGAACTTTGCCCCCTCGTGCTGGTGCTCAGTGGAACTTTGCCCCCTCGTGCTGGTGCTCAGTGGAACTTTGCCCCGGTGTGCTGGTGCTCAGTGGAACTTTGCCCCGCTGTGCTGGTGCTCAGTGGAACCTTGCCCCCTTGTGCTGGTGCTCAGTGGAACCTTTCCCCCTTGTGCTGGTGATCAGTGGAACTTTGCCCCCTCTGTGCTGGTGGTCAGTGGAACTTTGCCCCCTCTGTGCTGGTGGTCAGTGGAACTTTGCCCCCTCTGTGCTGGTGGTCAGTGGAACTTTGCCCCCTCTGTGCTGGTGGTCAGTGGAACTTTGCCCCATTCTGCTGGTGGTCAGTGGAACTTTGCCCCATTCTGCTGGTGGTCAGTGGAACTTTGCCCCATTCTGCTGGTGGTCAGTGGAACTTTGCCCCATTCTGCTGGTGGTCAGTGGAACTTTGCCCCATTCTGCTGGTGGTCAGTGGAACTTTGCCCCATTCTGCTGGTGGTCAGTGGAACTTTGCCCCATTCTGCTGGTGGTCAGTGGAACTTTGCCCCATTCTGCTGGTGGTCAGTGGAACTTTGCCCCATTCTGCTGGTGGTCAGTGGAACTTTGCCCCATTCTGCTGGTGGTCAGTGGAACTATGCCCCATTCTTCTGGTGGTCAGTGGAACTTTGCCCCATTCTGCTGGTGGTTAGTGGAACTTTGCCCCCTCGTGCTGGCGGTCAGTGGAACTTTGCCCCCTTGTGCTGGTGCTCAGTGGAAGCTCTGTTGTTTTTCTTTGAAGACAAAAGATGTTAATATATAGGTTGTTTTTTCTAAACTAAACCCTCATTATTCCAGTGTAATTGCGGTGTTGGCACTTTGATAAATAAGTGTGTATTGGGTTGCAGTTTGGGCGCTCAGAAATGAGATTGAGTACCGATCGAAACTTGGTACCTGCTCCCCACAAGATGTAATGTGCCAAAGGTGGTGGTGGAGGGGGGGGCAGATGAGAGGAACTTCCCTTTAAGGGTGCTTTCCCCTTTAAATCCATGGCTGATGGTCTGCCTTACTTTCCGCATGTTCTAATTCATGGAGCCAACCAAACAGTTCGCATTGTCAGGGCTGTTAGAACCTGCATGGTACATACTCCACACAGAACTGGTCTCCTCCAGATACAGCAGGAGGAGCTCAGTGTCTCCGTACATCATCACATGCAGTACAGCCACATGGAGACCTAGGATCACAGGCACTCCTAATCTGCCAGCAACCAGTCATGGCTAGTCCTACGACACTGCCCGCCAGGGGGCACTAAGAGGGGCATCACCAACACAGAGCCCCTCCAAACACTCACCCTGCACGGACAGCACACTCCGACTCTTCACAGGAAATACAAATACACGTGGAACCATCGAGAGCGCCTCTTCATGGCACCAACACAATCAGCGCTCACTAGTGGCTGCTGCCATCTAGCGGTCAATGCCGCGATTGCCTCTACATGGAATTAGACTGCAGTTCAGGAAAGGTTATGTTGAACCCTCGGTAATCCAGAAGCCGTGCTCTCCATACACTGCACTGACTATGGATACAAAGCCCGGAGCCGCTGGGTGCAGTTTGGAATAAATGGCTGTATATTATCCTGTGTGCTTCCCCCACCCACCACAGACAACATGTACCAAGCTTGGATGTGTTTCCTGTATGTACAGCTTGTTATACCTCAGGTGGGGGAACACTGATTTCTGTTTAGGGATTAGACCTTCTGTATAATTTCTTGGATGGAAGTATAGAACAGATAGAGGAATGTACAGGTCATGAGGGTGAGAGGATTGGGGAGTTCGTCCTGAGAGCAGAACAAGGAACCGGAGTTACCTCACAGCTACATGGAGGCCAGACTGATAAATCGGCAGCAGGCCCGGGCTGGGACAAAAAGTAGTCCCGGGCGCTTTGGAGTGAGCAGCCTAAAGCCCGGAGACCCTTTCCTCAGAGCCCGGTGGCAGAACGCCAGGGCCTGGTCACAAGAGCGACCCTGATAATGCCGCCACTAGTGTCAGTAGGTTTTTATTTAATTTTTCACAATTTCAGATTTTATTTTATTAAGTGTTCTTGCATGGGAAGACCACTTACTGTTATCACATATATATTCTTATTATTATAGCCAAATTTACCACCCTAACTCCTCCCACAGTTTTTACACTACATAGACAGTAATATACTGAAATGTGCGGATTGTTCCTGATTGGTGTGCTATTACTTTGTGGAACGTTTCACCGAATGGTTCACAAAATATTGGCGTTTTTGTGGTGAAATTGGTCCCATCAGAATGAATGGCAGAATGTTTAAAACTAGAGTGGGAGCTGACAAAGCTAGAGTGTGAGCTGAAAAATCAGGACATGATTTCTAAACTGCCATCACTCCCTCATTTTCAAGCCCACCTACACAAATCGTATATCAACACTTTCAGCTATCCCTGCTGCCACTAAAAATGTTCACGGCTAAGCCATAGTCCTAATAGTTTTCACAATATGTCCATTTGTTTGCAACTCACGCCGCCCATTGACATTCATTGAAACTCCACTCTAGCCACCTCAAATTTGAAGGGCAATTTCTAAACTGCGACTGTGCCGTCATTTTTAATATTTCAGAGACATACTATGCATCAAAATGTAGGTCTGGGTCTTCGGTGTAGGATTTATAATTTTTAAACT